AAAAAAAAAAAATTCTAGTTGGTCCCTTTTTTTTTTTTTTTTTTTTTTTTAGTAATAACATACATTTATATTCACTACTCTAAATTGTGTACTTGATAAATTTTACTTTTATGTAATAACATGTAAGTTCGACTAAGAATATTGGCAAGAATCGAACACCATATCTTTCGGGGTTAGTTGGTCCCTTATTTTGATTTGACATAAGATTTGTTTAGATCTCGTGGTCCAGTTATGATTTATGCTAAAAAACTCGTAGCCATTTCGTGTAGTAATATTGAAGTTTGGCCACCCTATGCGTTGTGGAGTAGTTATGTAGTGGTCCATTCTAATTCCAATAATTGAATTTTCACCACCAAATAATAATTCTTAGATTTGTTATCAATAACAATATATTTTGGTAAAAGACATGCATGTTTTTTTAGGAACACACTATAGGGAACCTTGGGATAGATGCAAGAACTCCTTTATGAGTCCCAATAATGCATTTGCCTAAGAGGTCATTAGGTATGTAATTTTACTTAGGATTTACTTTTTATGATTGTGTGTTTCAATTCTTCACATGAACAATGACAGATCATTTGGTTGGAAGGAAGAAATTAAGGGGAAAGGAAATTGCAATTCAGTGGGAAAAGAATAAGGTAGGAATAAAGTAAGAATTACAATTATTGTTTGGTGGGGAGGAATAATGGAAATGGGATAAGTGATATAAAGACTAAAATACACTTGCGTAATAATATTAATAATAACATTCAAGGACAAATATGTCATTTTCCCTTTTCATTGTATGGATGAATTCATTGAATTGCAATTCATAGGGGGGCATATGAATTGCAATTAAATGAATTGAGGGAATTGCAATTCCCTCCAACCAAACAATATAGTTTATCATTTCATTGAATTGCAATTCATGCCAACCAAACACTGCAAATTATGCTACGGTCTCGTGTCCATCATGTGCATGGTGGACACGCTGTACATTCATAATTTTTATACTGTAGATTCATAATTTCTATACTGTAGATTCATAATTTCTAAACTGTAGATTTATAAAATCAATACTGTAGATTCATAATCTATATACTGCACATTCATAATTTTCGTACTGTATGAATCTACATTATAAATTTTATGAATCTACAGTATAGAAATTATGAATCTACAGTACATAAATTATGAATGTGCAGTATAGAAATTATAAATCTACAATACATAAATTATGAATGTGCAGTATAGAAATTATGAATCTACAGTACAGAAATTATGAATGTGCAGTATAGAAATTATGAATCTACAATACAGAAATTATGAATGTGCAGTATAGAAATTATGAATCTATATTATAAATTTTATGAATCTACAGTATAGAAATTATGAATGTACAACGTGTCCACCATGCACATGGTAGACATGGGTCCATAGCATAACGCTCCACCAAACACCCTTGAAGATTTGGGTTTGGGCTAAACTCATTGTGGATACAAGTGTATAGTTTGGTTTTGAGTCTTGGAATTATATTAACTTAACTAATCTCTTTAGACCATCTCCAACTCAAAACACCAAATTTTACACCAAAAGGAATATTCCTAGCATATTCTTACACCAAATTTTTTCATCTCCAACCCATTTACACCAAATTTGATTCCTACACTAAAATAATTTATATTCTCATAAATTAAAAGTTTATATTTATACTTTTATTATTTTAATATAACATATAGTTGTAATTTAATGTAATTTGATAAATTAAACTTTAATTATGTTTTATGTAATTTTATTTTTAATTAAATTATATTCAATATTAGTCTTGTTTTAATTGTCTTGATGAGATCTTTCAAATGATATAAAATAATATACAATTTATATTTAAATATTTAACAAAATATGTAAATATATAAAAACCAAAAAAGATACGAAAGGGATTAAAAAAAAAAAAAGAAAGAGAGATAAAAGGCAAAACATGGACATAATAGGAAGAAAAAATTAATCCTAAAAATAGCGTGGATGATTAGTGCCGCGTCTTATTCATCAACACCAAATTATTTGGTGTTTTACTGTTCCGTTGGAATGCTTGTTTTGCTGCCGTCTCGTTGGAGATGGCCTTATAGGCCGAAGCAAGTTTGTAGGGTTCATAATATAATTCGTCAAAATTGGAAACCAGAATTAAAAAACAAAAGTAAAAAATGGTTTTTGTACGCACTTCAAAGCAAAATAGAAACGGGAAAAGATGCCACTAGGAGTTAGGAAACGAATAACGTGACCCATACTCACTCACTCACTCATAAATCTTACGAAAAAAGATTGTCAAATTGCACTCAACTCAGATCCAATTGTTATACCATGGAGCAGAGTTGATCTTGCTACATGTAGTTAATAATTTATGTGCATGTAAATAAATTAAAAGTACATAATATGTTAATTAGATACATAACATGGTAATTAGGTACACATAATATGTTAATTACAGACATATAATATGTTGATGAGGGTGTCTATAGTTATCATGTGCTTTCAATTTATTTATAAACACATAAAGTGTTAACTGCATGTACAAAATATATCACCTACATACACATAATCTGAAGTTATTTTGTACCAATGTCTACAATGCAAGGTAAATCCTTGTCCATTGTATAATTTGTCACTCAGATAACAACCTCACCAAATCCCACGGTGTATTTCATGGGCCCTAAAAGGGGTGGTCCATGTTGAAGTGAATATAATATGATTCTTGTATCAAAATGTCATCCTAATTTAATTATTGTCAACACACTCTCGATCAAATATGTCGTACATGATTTTCTTATTGCGATTTATATAATAATGATTAAAAAAAAAATCATCAGCCATGTATGCAATCATGCATGTGCTATAATCCCTGTCTCAAAACAACCAATCCAATGTTTAATCTCATTATTATATTAAGTATACTAAGATGACTTTTGTTGGATGGATGATGGCAAGGTTCTCCCATACAAGAAACACCCACACCCAAATCTACATATGCTTTTCAAAAGAGACTTCACATAATCAAATCAATGTTATCATGGGATTTAACAATGTTTTGTGTGTGTTAAGAGTACAATTTAATAATGTTGTGTAAAGCTAAGGTAGGGCATGCAGCATAATCAAAATTGCTTGATTCTCACATGAAAAATGCTTTTCCCAATGTTGAGATCTGTTGTCTACTCCCAAAAGGTGCATTCATTTTTTAGATGATGACTCAAATGTCCATTTTGGGGACCATGTGAATGAACATGGTGTGATCATCTTGAGCTTTTGCAATGGCATTTTTATAATTAAAAGGTAAAAGATGTTGGTTTGGTTTCTAATTATAGTCAAGCTTGTTAATATTAATATCAATAATAGTATAATACTATCTTTATATTTTCATATATTTCATTTTAAGACAAAATATTGAAAAGTTAATTTATATGTGTGGTTTGAATGACAATGTATATATCATGTTCATTCTTGATCTATTCAATTCATGCTTACAAATCTTCGAGAGAGGCTATCGGAAAGTTTAATCCTGATCATTTTTTATTGATGTTGTGGGAGTGACGCCCACAATTTTGTAGTCTTTTATATTATATTCCCCACTTGATTTTGGATTTGTTTTGAGTTTAAGGCCATGATGTATGACACTCTTTTTATGTTAATTAATTGAAAAATGTCTCGAAATGAGTAGTCGAGTAGGTGGATATGTTTATACTTAAAGGGCACGAGGTTAATTATGTCAACATTATCTCGATCGAACCCGTCACATAGGGTTATTATAGTGCAAATTAACTACTCAATTACAAATGAACGAGATTTACTCTTTATACATTATTAGTTAGTGGTTGCGGTTTCTCTAATAGTCCAAAATAAATAAATTGAATAATAATAATTATTATTAACGTTGGAGATTGTCAATTACTCTTTGTCATGATGAGATTAATTGATTCACCATCCTTTTTGTTAATTTCCATTAATATTTGTCTATTATTGACGATTGACGATTCTATCAACAATGAGTCACCATTTTTTATAGGTGGGCCCCACAAATTCTATTCTATAAATAGTATAAAATAAATTTTATTTTATTTTTAAAATAAACGCAAATCATATTACATTTACGACAAACGTAGTAATAAACCTATTAAATATGTTTTTCTACAGTGTATTGTCATATTTATGTTTTACATTTATTAAAAAAAAAATCAAAACACTAATTTTTTTTTTTAAATTTATCATTTGTACACACACACACACACACACACACACACACACACACATATATATATATATATATATATATATATATATATATATATATAATTTTATTTTTTCAATTCTATATGCTTTCAGTCAATAATAATAATCTTTAAATCTATCAACCCACTGTCCCACTTGTATACTTGCATGACAGCAACCCAACTTCTACCCAACTCCATTATAATTATCCTTTCCTTTTTTTTTTTTTTTTTTTTTTTTTTTTTTTTTTTTTACATTACCATTCACAAATTAAAAATAATACGGAGTAACAATCTAATTTAACTGTTAGTTTCTGCCATCATCCAAATAATAATAATAATAATAATAATAATAATAATAATAATAGAACTATATCTATATATTCCACTTTGAGATCATATCTTTTTTTAGACATTTTTTTTTTACACTATTACTCAATATTTATATACGTATATGAATTTAAAACTTTCCTTAAAAGAGCACAAAACCAAATATATAAGGAAATAAAAGAAAACATTACCAATCAATTGAATCGTGTTGTAGTGCACTTTACGCAATAAATACAAAATATTTTCCATATTTAACATAAAAAATATTATATTTTCAAGGTGAAAAGTTATGAGAATACTAGAACAGTGGATTATAAAAATTTTTAAGGAAAAAAAAAAAAGGAAATGTGGTGAGACCACAGAAATTCGATTTTCTTCCAGTCTAGATTTCTTCTAGATACCCACTCGTGTGCTCTCACTCCCCACCCCCACCCATCAAAACCCATCACCTCTCTCTCTCTTACATATAACTGTCAAAGCTTCAACTTCTTTTTACATAACCATGGAGTCATTGAATCTTCTTCTCTCTTTCTCTCTCTGTCTTCTCGCCGCCGTTTCCCTCCTCTTCCTCCGCTCCTCCTCCGCCGCCGCGCGCCGCAAGCGGGCCCTCCCGCCGGGGACCTTCGGGCTGCCGTTCCTCGGCGAGACGCTGCAGCTCATCTCCGCCTACAAGACGGAGAACCCCGAGCCCTTCGTCGACGATCGCGTCGGCAAATACGGCGCCGTCTTCACCACCCACATCTTCGGCGAGCCCACCGTGTTCTCCGCCGACCCGGAGCTGAACCGCTTCGTCCTCCAGAACGAAGGCCGCCTCTTCGAGTCCAGCTACCCCGCCTCCATATCCAACCTTCTCGGCCGCTATTCCCTCGTGCTTATGAGCGGAACCCTCCACAAAAGAATGCACTCCCTAACCATGAGCTTCGTCAACTCTTCCACCATGAAAGACTACCTTTTGCTCGACATTGACCGCCTCGTCCGCCTCAATATGGACTCCTGGACCGCCCGGATCCTCCTCATGGAAGAAACCAAGAAGGTAATTCCATTAATCTCTATATACAATCGCTAATTTTCTCCACTCTCATATATATTATATGCATATATTATATACTTCCACCATTTATCAATTATAAACCTCAGTTTACAGCCATCTTGTCCTTATTCTAGTTTGGTGGTGTACTTTAATTTCACTATTTCATACTATGTTCTAGTCCGAAAAAATGCAATCTTTTTTACTGTATCATCTATCTTGTGTATGAGAGAGGTCCAAGGTCTATTAGGTTTACTTTCTTGATTTGAGCTGGTCAACTATTATCAACTTACCAGTTTTGCTTTTTGGGATATTCTTTTGCCGACTAAGATCACAAGTCAGGATTTATCGGCTCAAGAAAATATTACAATTTTCTATTAGATATATCATGTATATATAGTTAAATATTGAACCGGGCATATAAAATAGGACCCGGAGAATTATTATTTAATTTGGAAGTAGGACACTGGGGGGTACAGTGGGGAATTGTCAAACAGGAGATAGAGACACAAAGCAGGTCATCATAGTATGTCGACAGACCAACCTACTTACATGTGTTCATAAGAGGCCAAACTTGAAATGCTAATGACATGTTTGCCTAACTAAAGTTATTGACTATATAGTTACGGTAAATAATAAGATAATAGTTGTGTTTTTTTTTTACAGTGGATAAGCTGGTAAAATATTGCCAGCTGCATATAATGTGTGGGTAATTGATTTCATGGATCTTAGGACTAATGATTAGAGAGTAAAGATGGATGAGTCTTATATCACTTTCATATGCATATTAGTGGGTCTCATAAGTTTGGTTGTGTTAGGAGTTGGGACCAACAACATGAGGCCATGCACATATACACATCTATTTGTTTAATTTGTATTTTTCGAAATCGCTTTTTCTTTTCCAAGTTGTCAAGCTCGAGATCTCCTTTACTCGTTAAGTGTTTTGATGTATGCCTAAACTTGGTGATTATGATTAATTAGGATTTGAGTGTAAAAAGCACATGTGATTGCCTGTGATGTTATGATTCTCTTTGCCTTGTAAAGTTAGAAGGTTCTAAAGGTGTGAGGATCATGATGGTTTCTTGTGCTTTTCACTTTTTATTTTTAACCGGTTTGGGTAAGGGTCTTTTTCATTGTGGTTATAATTTGGGAGATTAACGAAAGAGTGTTTAAGATGTGCAGATCACGTTTCAGCTAATGGTGAAACAGTTGATGAGTTTCGATCCGTGTGAGTGGACCGAGAATTTGATGAAAGAGTATATGCTTGTTATTGACGGGTTTTTCACCCTTCCTTCACCTCTCCTCTCCACCACTTACCGAAGGGCAATACAGGTACAGTCTTGTCCCCGACAACCTTAACTATGATGAAGTTTTACGTTATGGTTGTGTTAAATGTGTAACTGTGTAAGTGAATTTAGTTATAATGAACAGTCTTTGTATTGTATCTCTGTTTGTCTACATGCTCATCTGGTCAGGTTAAATGAATATGTTGTACTATCAAAAAGAATGTGAAGTTGCATTCATGATGAACCCAAATGCTAGTGTAGGCTTTTGGTGGACAAACATATATTTTGTGTCGAACCTTTTTTCTGTTTTGCTTTTTAAAATTATCATATAATGATGACACCAATAGATTCAATTTTCCCTCGATTTATGATATTGGGAATATTTTTAGGCTAGGGGAAAGGTTGCGGAGGCCTTGAATAAAGTGGTGACGGAGAGGAGAAAGGAGAGGGAGTGCGGGGTCGAGAAAAAGAATGACATGTTAGAAGCGTTATTGGAAGGAGATGGCGGTGCCACAGGAGGCGATGGTGGCGGTGGTGGCTTCTCCGATGAGGAAATCGTGGATTTCATCCTAGCGTTGTTGGTGGCCGGGTACGAGACAACCTCGACCATCATGACTCTTGCGGTCAAGTTCCTCACTGAGACGCCTCTCGCTTTGGCTCAGCTCAAGGTGTGTGTGCATAATCTCTTTTCACTTCGTTTTACTTGATCCTTAGTTTCTTTTCTTAATTTTGATGATGCCAATAATGTTTTTTCCTTGGTGGACCAAACTTGACAACTACCATACGCCATGTAGGTCTTGTTTCTTCCTTGTATGAACCGTCTTGTCTAAATTCTCGACCAAGCAAATTAATTTCTTTTAGGATTACAAAGAATGAATAAAGAAAACCCGGGGGGCGAGTGATGAAGAGTGTTCATAAGCTACACGATCTCTATATTCTATTATTTGGAAAGCAGTTCTCGTATATTGCTGGTTTTTGGATACATGCCTACTTTTTGAATAGCAGCTTGGCATTCACAGGCTGGCAACCTTTTGAATTCTTGTCCAGTTTATTAGACAAAGTACTTGTTGCATCTTTTTCTTTTCTTTTTTCCTTGTATTCTAAACCTTTTTTGACGGGATTTTGCTAACACACATAACTATCTTAATGTTAAAGAGTCTCACATTGAAAATATAAGAGAGAACATATAGGTTTATAACCATGTGTTAGACTAGGCTGACTAGCTAATTGATTGTATTCAATCTTTTAGGGTCCGTTTGGAAGGGAGAAAATTGAGTCATTTTCCAGAAAACATTTTCCTTTCCAGTGTTCGGTTGCATTTTGGAAGACTTGGTGTGTAAACATTTTGGCGGAAAATGACTTCCCCCAAATTTTGGCGGAAGTCATTTTGTGCCAAAATGGCTTCATTTTCCCAGTCAACGGAAAATGTTTTCGTTGGCTGGATTTTTCTATTGCATCCAAACACTGAAAATTCAGAAAACATTTTCCAGAAGTCATTTTCCGGGACCCTTAGTGTGATTTGGCCCATGTGCATTATAGGCACCTCAATCTTGAGGGTTTGAAGAAGGAAGAAGAAAAGGACAGCTCATTTCTGTGCAATCTGATGCTGAAATGGTCAAAAGTTGGGGAAAAGAGTGTAAAGTTTTTTTTGAAAGAGAAGCATTTGAACTGGCAGTCAAAACAAGGGTTCATGGGCGTCAAATTCCCTACTAGGCTACAAAGTCTGCACCTTTAAAGATGTTTTTGCCAGAAAGTTTTTCATCATAGGGGTAGATGGAAGAAGTTGTCACTTTTCCCCTTTACCCTTTACATTTGAAGGGCATTCTTGAGATTGTCTAACTAAAACACCTTTTGCAATGGAGATGCTTAGGGTATCTTAGTACTGAACAGCTGACTCTTTGGCTTTTTTGTTGAGGAATTGAACAATGTTGCCTAGGTTTCTGAGCTAAAAATTTGGAGGAATCTTTTCTTTGCAATCAGGCCCTCTGCATTTTCAACTACTTTCAAATCAGAGAAACTCCAACCAAGTTGGTCAGACTGTTGGCTTGATAACCACAAGGTTTCAAGTTCGACTCTTAGTAGGAGCAGACGAACAGTCTATTGACCTTCTTGGTTTGAGCCGGTCAGCTATAGACAATTTAGGCTGGTTTTTTCCTTGTGATCCTTTGTTGACTAAGGTCATAAGACGGGTTTACTTGGTGCACATTCTCGGGTAGTGACTTTGAGTTTCTCTCGTTACCAAAATATTCTGAAGACTATTGAAATTACTTCATCTATCTAGTGCAGTACAATGGTGAAACATGCCTAATTTTCCATGCTGCTCTAGATTTCATTGAACACGATTTTCTTGTTCATGTGTTGGCAGAAAGAACACGATGAAATCAGGTTAAGGAAAGGCGAAATTCGGATGCTGGAATGGGATGACTACAAGTCCATGCCTTTTACTCAATGTGTGAGTGGAACTATAGAAGCTAAACTTCATCTTGCTTGCTGGGAATCTCTAATCTAACGGGCGAATTATGCAATCATGTTGTTTTCAGGTTATAAACGAGACACTTCGAGTTGCAAACATAATTGGTGGAGTATTTAGGCGAGCCACAACAGATGTTAATGTAAAAGGTGAGATTTCACGAACAAGTGACCAATGCAACTTTGAGCCTCATTTTGCCTCGCTAAATGCAACTGGTTTTACTTGATCCTTGCAGGCTACACCATCCCGAAAGGATTCAGAATTTTCGCTTCGTTTCGAGGAGTGCATCTCGACCAGGAATACTTCACAGATGCCCGAACCTTCGATCCCTGGAGGTGGCAGGTACGCTCTACTTTCCACACCCCGCTATTCCCAAACTCTAGTCTCGTCTCCAACACATTATATATATACACGTTTCAGAGTAATCCCGGACCGACAAGTTCAATGACTGCATTCATGCCATTCGGTGGAGGGCCAAGGCGTTGTCCAGGCTACGAGCTTGCCCGAGTAGAGCTCTCTGTCTTCCTCCACCACCTAATCACGCGTTTCAGGTAAAACGCTCTTTAGCTTTCATTTTTTTTTGGTGTAAACCACGAGGTGGTCCGGGTCTTTCTCTGTCCGTTTAACGGTCCAGATTCACCCGACTAATCCTCGTTCGGGAGTGGCCCGGGGGAACTCTTTAACTTTCATGCATAGCACTTTAAGTATATAACTTTCGTGTGTTATGTGAAATGCTGCAAATTTGATTGAACAGTTGGGTGCCCGCTGAAGAGGACAAGTTGGTTTTCTTCCCAACAACGCGAATGCTAAAACGGTATCCAATTATAGTTCAAAACCGAAGCTTGTCTATGAACACAGAATGATCCGAGAGGCGTTTAAGGAGGAGAGAAACATGATCAGTAAGTGTAGGAAGCAGAGTTAGTCTACAAATGGTACTAAGGCTGAACTATCTTATATGAGGATGAAGCTTAGAAAATATATATACATTTAAATATAGATCAAATTATTTGTAGTATACAACTTATTAATCTTAGAACATATATATATACACCCTATATTCATTTTGGCCTTTCAGGTACTAAGGATGTTTCCTATTTTCATATGAACTCGAGCTAAAATAATATGATCACACATTTGAGGCCACACTTCCATTTTTAAACTAAGTTTTATGGAGGGGGTTAAGATCCTGGGAGCAACTTTCATATATGACACATCATTTTCTCTGCACTAATTGATGTTTGGTATGCCCCAAACCAACCCCCCCCCCCCCCCTCCCCTACCAAAGGGTGGTATGTATTATTACTATAAATGTGGTAAGTGTGATCTGTAAACATTGTATGGATATATTTGATATGGAGGGCCAGAATCTTTTCTTTGCTGAATAAGAATGATCTGTAAATCTGTGATGGCAACTGTTTTGTCCAGTGTTTTATTACTATTTTAATGTATAAAGGTTGCTGATTGCCTCTTGGAACACTTTAGAATGGTCGGTTGGTTGTGCATATATTTTGGTGGCAAATTATACCATCGATCATATTTTACCTTGCATTGTAGGGACTGGTCCAAAAATAACTTTCAGATTCAGTATCTACACATTCTGTACAATTGATAGTTTCTGTATCTGTAGCTATTATATTATGTGTCGGCAATTATCAAGTCAAATATCAGATATTGTATCTATAGTTGACACATTCTATACCTGCAGTTGATAGTTTTTGTACCTGTAGTTATCATATTATGTGTCAGTAATTATCAAGTTATTTGTTAACATGTACAGAAACTGTTAATGGTAAATACAGAATATGTTAACTGAACGTACATAATTTTTGTATTAAGGTTCACAATGTAATATAAATCTTGGTCTGTGGTATAACAATTGATATTTTGGTACGTCAATGTGGAACTAGCAAAAAGACATTCGAAATTGAAATTAAGTGACTAATATAAGACGGTTTTAATTTATCATTAAAATTCTGGTATGAATTTTAAAACTCTGTTATACTTGCAGCCATTAATTATACACAAAATTTGTACTGTTCTTGGTTTTTTAGAATTGAAAAGAAAATAATAATTGAAGTGCATAAACTAGTCTCTTCACAATCATAATTAAATACCCATTATATATTACTTTATTATAAAAACAACAAAAATCTGTACATGTTAGGTAGGCTATGAATCATTGTTGCATCCTCCTATACTTCTGCTCTCACATATACTATAAAAAAAAAAATTCTCAGACCAATCAGGATGAGGTTCTCCTTTGGATAAACCTACAAAAAAACAGAACAGCATCCAAACACAAGAACAGGTTAGGTAAGTGGTTCCAAATGTAAATGAAACAATGATTAAAGGGGTAAAATAATGTGCTGGCAACACTTAAGATTTTGTATTCTAATGTTGCACTGATCAAATGTTTTTGGTTAGGTTTGATAATATAGTTAGCTTATTAGTTAATGTTGGCTTATCTTACCACTATTAGTTGTTTGACTTGGTTAAACAACTAATATGAATGTTTAATTAATTAGCTTTCTGTAACAGTTTATTGCTCCAAAATGTTAAAATTCAAAAAGTTGCTCAAGTAGCTTTTTCTATAAGCTTTTTACGAAAGTCATTTTGCATGTAAATCAGCTATCAATTAACAACTAATTTACCAAACATTTTTCGACAATCAGCTAATGCTATCAATTAGTCAAACTCAGTAACTCAATCAGCTAACAACTATTTACCAAATACCCCTTTTATGTTTTGATCAAAGAAGAAGATTCTGAGAAGATATTTACCTAAAACCTGGCTGTGAGAGAACTGGCTGGCCAGAGAAAAGAGTACAAACAAAAAAATGGATATGTTATGTATGTACTATTGTTCTTCAATTACTTCACTCTTTCTTCTTGGATCTTCTTTGGGTACCTAGAAAATCCCTTTTTGCATGCTGTTACCTGCATTCATATCATTTAAAATCTTGCATTAATCAGATGCCACTACTCAAAGGTGCGTTATGAGCAAAACTACCCTAATCAGTAAAGGACAATAAGAGATAAAATAGTTTAGCCCATAGTCAGTAAAGGACCATAAAGAGGTAAATCAACTCACCTTGTCCAACCATTCTGGTCGACAAATGATCATAAAGAGATAAATCAATTTAGATTGTCTATAATAGATTGACTCAAATCAATGTGATTACCGACCAATTTGATTGTAATTGATCCAAATCCTTTGTTTACTTCTACTAAGATTTTAAATTTGAGTTTAGAGGCCTAACTGAATATTTCGGTTAAGAAATTAGGATGTTATTGACAAGTTAATGTATTGGTTATTGCTGGCCAAGTGGCCATATATCTAGAAGAGTATTTCGGACCATTCAATTCATCAAGTCATTCTTATACAACTATAGACCAAGTCATAATTTTAGGTGTAGACTGTAGACCAAACTTTTCCTTCGGTCCATATTCATTTCCCACCAATATTTGTACTCATTTCCCACCAATATATTAAATAAATTACATTATATATAATGAGATTTTTTATGTACCGATAATATTTAATACAATCATGTACAAAGTATATTATATTACTATACAGATATGATATAACTGATTATCATATTTAGTCGAATATTTAAACAATTTAAATTATTTTATCTATTTTAATTTCTTTAGCCCGTTAAATTATAAGATGGGTTTCACCCAGAATGCGACGTTACATAAAATGTGAATTTACCTAGTAATTTTCAAAATTTTGTATGCTTAGCTAGAAAGAAAGAGAAGCCAGATAGATGATGAATTGACTTACAGCTTCGATATCGATCTTGTAAACAAGAAGCTTTCTTCTCTCTCTGCAACTGATCCTATACGCCACCACGATGTGCGCAATCGCCATAGCCACCGAGCACGCAAACATCGCCATCTCAGCCGCGGCGGCGGCGGCCCGGACATGATGACCTCCATTAACGCCGTCGTATCTCGACCTCGAACTGTTCCCGAAAACGTACGACGCCTTCAGCGACACGAAAACTAACGACGTTACCGAACACACGGTCGCGATTCCCAGGTACGGCCCCCTCGATAGACTTGGGCCGTCGCACGAACTGTACACACCTAAAACACACATAAATTGAAGTTAATAGCGACGAACGGAAAAGTGATGTTTTGATGTCGGAGAATTGGGAGTTACATAGAATGATGGCGGAGCGGACGATGGATACGAGGGGGATGTCGACGAGGGAGTAGCGGAAGTCGTAGGTGGTGAGAATAGAAGACAGAGACGCCGCCGGGGACCAGGACGCCGAGAGCAGCGCCGACGGGAGAACGGCGTCGGCGATTCCGACGAGAATCGGCGCGGAGAAGACCAGGAGAGAGATTAGCATGGTGATCAAGAAGAAGAGAGTCTTGATCCACCTCAACGCCCTGTTCCTCTTCTCCTCTTTCAAGAAACTCATCGTCTTCCCGGCCTGCTCTTCTTGAATTTCCGGCGAGAAATGAAAACTGATTGAATGCTTAGACCGTTGGGGGGGTTTTTGGAGGGCTACTTGGAAAGCCGGTCAAGAAGACGAATTGAAACTTCTCCTCTTCTGGGCCCTTTATAGTGTACACGTTTTCGTGCGTTCATCACTAACGCCATTACCTAATCAACTTCTCATCTATTTAATTTCCAGAGTATTATTTATTTATTTATTTATTTATTTATTCTGACACATGATCTTCTCTCCAGCTTTACACATAAGAAACAGCCATAATTTAGTTATATTATTAACATATGATATGATTATGATAATACTTGTTAATTACGGTTGGTCGATGTTAATTACGAAGTATATATTATGTGAGATTAGGAGTTTCTTTAAATAAAATAAAATAAAAAAAGTAAAATTAGGAAGTACTAACCGATCATTGAGTAGATAATATTTGAAAGGAGAGATTAAATTTTGAACCTCAACAATCATAGTGCGAGGATTATGTACATAGTGAACAGATCTATTGTGCGCACTGACATTTGACCATGTTTGTTGAACCATCATTATATTGTGAATCGTATCCCCACTACCAATTGAATAATTAACATACAGGTTCATTTTATTATATTATCAATTTTTTAGGGTAATATATATTCATTTTGAGGTTCATTTTTAATATGTTGTTAAAAAAATAAAATTTTAATATTGTAAAAATAAATATTGATCAGTGATTTACATTATAATGTCAACTATAGGTTTAAGTATAATTTGCGGTACTGAAGCTACCTTGAACTTCCAAGATAATTACAGCGCATTTGACTTCAGCCTTCCTATAAGTCTATAACTAAAAAACAGAAGGTTTACTTTGATAGAAAATGACTTGCACTTTAATTTTTGTTCAATTATTTTTAGGTGTGTATTAATATATTATATATTCCATGAATTTTCAAGTGAGAGTAGTCAACATTAAGTAATGAAAATTTAATTCAAATTTAATTTTTCTTCCTTAGCTTGATTAGATTCCTACATTATGACTATCTTCATCTCAGACTCAACATTCTTTCGTCTCAAATTTAGGTCGAAAAGATCAAAAAACAGCTTAATAAAGGTTGTTTAACTTGTCTTTGCCAATCTCCGATCCGTCTTGCATGTCACTCTTTTTCTTTTTCTTTTGTTTATAAAAAACTTTTAAAATATATTTCCAATTTTTTTTTGAAAGGTATATATTTTAAAATTTATAGTCAACAAAATTAATATTATATCTATCAAATGCCAAATGAGTGTCAACTCTTAAAAAATATACAGGAAACAAACATAGCATTAATTTATAGTCAAACTCAACTTTTACCTGCTATATATTAGCTACATAATGAGCCAACCACAAATTTTTATCTAACTTTTTTTTTTTTGAGAATTTTTTTATCTACTTTTTAGAGTCTGAATAAAATTTAAGAAACTTAATTGTACTAAACGTGAATTATATTGGTTAGCCGGCGGCCGGTCCACGAGAGTAACATTGAAAGAGCTTTACGGTGGAGCAAAGATGAATCCGAATTGGACATTCCATTTTAGTACACAGTACCCTCTGCTACAAACAGAACAAATTAGACTTAATATTTTTGCCTATAGATTTATAGGTGTCAGTCTCCTTTTTGTAATTTTTTTTCAAAATATTTTCGTTTGATCCTAATATTATTGTGGCATGACCATTTTTTATCATCCGTCAACAAAATCGTTTAAATGACGTTAAATACAAAAGACATTTTGGCCTATTCAATTAAGTGTTAAGTCATTTTTCTTTATTGGTCCCAGATTTATGTGTCATTCAATTTCACTTTTAGTCTTTTTTTTTTTTTTTTTTCAAAACATTCATTTTGATCTTAGCATCATTGTGACATGACCGTTTTTTGTCCTTAATCAACAAATATGTTTAAATGACATTTAAAATGACGTTATTAACCATTCAAAATTCTCGTTTTTTTTTTTCTTCTTCTTGTTAATAAAATTATGAGCAATGCTACAAATTCTCTTATATTCCCTTGATAAAATTATGAACAAGTAAACTAACATCTATAAATCTATGATCGAAAATGAAATTAACTCCAACAAATTAAAAGAGAACAGTGTGTCTCGGTTTTGGTATGATGAAATGTCTTAGCAGCCTCCACTCTCAAACTATGCTTCCCATTTTGACTATGGCGGCCTGGCCGCCTGGGCATACATGTGAAACTTCATTAAAATAATTATTTTTATTTTTTAGTTTGAATATGGTTAACTCAATAAAATAGTTGAACATGACCAAACGAAAGAAACTGATGAGGCCCGCCCATGCCCCATTATATTGTTAAGAGTAATCAACGGTTATAATGAACATAATACATATAATCAACACTTAATATTTATACAACTCATAAGGTAGCTCCAAAAGAGCTTCTTAGTGGGGATGATCTTAGATTCTCAGGAATAATTCAGGTTCAACGTTTTTTTAAGTGACAAAAAAGACCCGAAATATCTAGTGATTACACCAAAAAAAGAAAAAAAAAAACAGGATACCCACGACTATAGTGGCACTTTTAGGTTTTCTTCACGAGTTTCAAACTTTGTAATCTCGGTCCACGGGTATTTTTTTGCAAAAATAGTCATTCTGGTCCATTTTTCGTCAATTTATCACTGGAGTAAGAACCATTTCCAGCAAAAGCGAGCCGAAAAATTGACAGAAATGGGCCGGAATGACCATTTTTATAAAAAAAAAAAAAACAATAGTCGTGGACCAAGATTGCAAAGTTTAAAACTTGTGGAGAAAACCAGAAAGTGCCACTATAATCGTGGGACTAAAAGTGCGAAAAACACTCATTTAAAAATTTACAAACACACACGTTTTCTCCCATATTTCATTTTGTTTGCATTTTTTAAAAAAATTTATTGTTTCTCATTTAATTTGTTTTCTTTGCGAGTGATTAGAAAAACTCACAGTTACTATCCAAAAATGTAGGTGCATTATATAAATCTCATTAATGTGTAATAATTCATAAACTATATAATATAAGTAACCTGTAATAAAAAATTTTGTACAATAAATTTAATTAATAAAATATTAATAATAATTAAACTCGTCAATCAAGTTACCAGAGGAAGAGGCACTATACTTTTGATTAATGCATTAAAATAGTGTGAAAAAGACATTGTGGGGTAAATTGGTTGACATGAACAGTCTGGTTTAGCCCTACTCTCTAAGCCATCACAATATAAAATTTGTTTAATTATCTCAACCTCACAACTTGTTCAGACATCAAGTATATACATGTACGGTGGAAATCTTTTATTGCTTTGAGGTTAAAACTCGATCAATCGTACTGCTATATTATCATACTTGCACTTCATTATTATTTTTTTTAATCCCTCCAATTTCAACGAACTTTTGAATTATAATATTATATTATACGGAGTAATAAGAACATTAATTTTATTTAAAATAAAGAGATAAATTGGGTCCCACCATGCCAACATAGATGGATCATATTGCAAGCTTGCAATACAATTGGTTTTAAATAAATAAAAATTATCTGTCATGCAAGATTGAATGCCACACCTCTTAGTGTTCAAGAGTCCGGATAATCTTAAAGTTTTTGTCAAAGAGTTAATGTATTCCAAGTAATAATAATAATTTTTTTTTTTTTTTGTCTAGGTTAGCAAGGAAGTTGTTTGTGGTTAAATCTTTATTCAGTTACACTTGTACTCTATTACATTGTAATATCTATTCAAACTTTCTCAACCTAATGAAACACATAGAGTCAACAACGCCTCCACTGAGGCTCGATGTTACTACATGTCATCTGAGCACAAGGTGCTTGTCATTGACCTTCTTAATTAGTTTGAACCAGTCAGCTATATTGAGCAACCTAAACTAATTTACCTCTTTGTTATTTTTTGTCGGCTAGAATCAAAAGATAGGATTTACTTAGCACACTCTCAAATAGTGGTTACGAGTTTCTTTCTCCATAAAAAAAAATATTTATTAAATCTTCAGATCAGTTGTCCCACCCAAAAGAGGCACCTATAATTTAGCGAAGGAATTAGCCACTGTGTCCGACGGTGGGAATCCTGTGTACACCAAAAAAATAAAATTGATCATATCGAAATCAAGTAATTGTAGGCTAAAGCATGTCCCAATTATACAAATGCCCTCTTTGGTAAAATAGTTAGCCTATAGGCCAATTTGACAATTTTAGCTTATTTGATCACTATTATTTGTTTGACTTGTTTAAAAATTAATATAAGTATTTTGTTAATTAGTTTTGTGTACTCCAAAATGCTAAAATTTAAAAAGCTACTCAAAGCAAATTTTTCAATTAACTTTTTGAAAAAAGAAATTATACCAAACAGCCATCAACTTATAGCTAATTTACCAAACACCTTCTTACAATCAACTAAGGCTCTGTTTGACAAATCTAGCTGAAAAACTATAAGCTAGGAGCTGATAGCTGAAAAGGAGCTAAAAGCTGAAAAACTATAAACTCGGAGCTGAAATCTGAATAGCTGTTAAGCTAGCTGTTATTATTGAAAGTGTTTGGTAAAATTAGCTTTTTGATAAGCTGATAAATGTAAAAAGACTAAAAAGGATATTTTCATAAAATTTAAATTAGTTTGTTTACATATTAAAATTTAACATTTTGAAATAAAACTATTAGCATAATCATGATCTAGCATCTCATGATGAAGTAGCAATATTGTTGCAATAATAATAATAATAATAATAATAATAATAATAATAATAATAATAATAATAATAATAATAATAATAATAATAATAATAATATTTGCGGTGAAAGTTGCGGATAAAGAAGAAGGGAAAATGATTTTAATTGGGAAGGGTAAATTAAGTCATTTCTTTAAAATAATAAGGATAAAGATGGAAAAAAGTTAGGAAGCTAGGAGCTTATTTTGAAATGCTACCTAAGGTAGCGTTCCAAAATAAGCTCTTATTTTAAGCTATGAGTTTATTTTGAAAACATTACCAAACAGAGCTTATAGCTTATTAGTAGCTTAAAATAAGCTATAAGCTCCTAAATAAGCTCTGCCAAACAGAGCCTAATATTATCAACTAGTTATACTCTCTAATTTATCAAATCAACTAACAACTAACATCCATTTATCAAACGGGACAAAGTAATGCACCAATTCAAGAACTAAGTGAGATTAGGCGAAGAAGTAGTTGTACGGTGGAGATTGGACCAATGAAATGGTGTCAAAAGATATGATCCTTAATTTATGTTTAATTCCTTGTTAATTACTTTGTTGACTTTGGGGCGTACGCTGATTATACACGGAGTCGTTTATGAGAGACACGACAGCAGTGTGGCCCCCACTCTTTGTACAATATGGTATCTTCTACCATAGGGAACGCCTACGGCCAGACGTTTAAAGGCCTGCAGAGTGCAGATCCGACCGGCCGGTTAGTTAGTTATAGTTAGTTATTGTTGTGTCAACTGTCAATTTCTCAGAGGTGTCCAATTCACTGGGTAACTGCTTAAACTATGAATCTAACACTTGGAACCAATATTGGCGTGCATGTTTGGCAATTTGTGTACGTACGTTTTAAAAAATCAAGCTCAACGATTTATGATAATTGATAAGCGAATTGTTAATTTAATTCAAATGTATTCACTATTGTTTTGATGCACGAATGAGTTAAAAGTGATGCAATTCAGACTCAATAAACTTGACCAATTTTCAACTCAAAAGTTTTTATCTTCACCATACGTTGGGCTAGCATAATAGCATGTTTGTAAAGTTAAATGATGATGGCTAATGACTTTGTAGTCTAGTGGCATGAAGTGACTCTCCCAAACAGAAAGTTATGAGTTTAAGTCCAACTCTTTGTACTTCAATAGATTATTGTTAGAGATCGACAATCTCGGAACTCCATAATTGTAATGTTATGTGATCTTCTTTTGGGCCTTGATTGTGGACGGTTGGAGCTATGCTGATCTGTGGCCCAATCATAACATAATGAACATGGTAGAGTAATGTTTTATTGATGTGGGCTTAGCTACTTTTGCATTTTGACATTGATTTATATTTGGGGATTTTGTTTCCTTTCCTTACCAACTAAACTGTCTATGCGGGTGCCTTATCCTATTATTGATTTAAGGACTCATCTACTAGTAATGGCTGAATGACTCGTTGAGTCTCGACCCAAATGATATGATTGCAACCAACCTACTGAATCGGTTCAATGAAACGCGTTGACACGGGCAGCTCAGTTGCTATCTAGGTGATAGATTATAGACAAGGACGTAAGATGGAGACTTGACAATTACAGTGTGCAGGAGTTACACTATACCCAATGTGGTGGACTCCTTATGCGCATTAGGCCACGGTCCTCCCACCTAAGAGGTCATTGATTTATTCCTTCACCTTCTTGTCAGGCCTGAACGTGAGAGCACTTGGGGTTAGAGATTTTGCCGTTTTGTGGCCCAATTGTGGGCAACAACTCGGATAGTTATTATTGTCTTTATGGTCTTAAATGCAGGGATAGATTAGTGGGTGCTGTGCATGAATCATATAATCAGGTCAAAATTCTAGATGGAGTCAGCTGAATTATTGGGCGCCTACAAATCCTACAATATCTTTACCACCTTCTTCTCCACCTGGTCAAACAATGCAGATACTCTCACATATCTGCAACCTGTTATTGCTTATCCCTCAAGAACAGCTTACATCTTCTCTGTAAATGGAGAGGCTAATTCTGCTATTCTTCTGCCTGTTAGTTCAAGCCATTGTTTCCTCCTCTGAGAATCAGCTGTGCCACAATGACCAAACCTCTGCTCTGCTGCAAATCAAGAACGCATTAACCATCGACGAATCTGTTTCTCTGGAGTGCGATTTGAGTGGCGAACATCCTTATCCCAAGACCATTTCATGGAATAGCAGCACAGATTGCTGCAAATGGGATGGGGTTACCTGTGATGAGCTAACAGGTGAAGTCATCGGGCTTGATCTTAGCTGCAGCCACCTCACCGGGACGATTGATTCCAACAGCACCCTCTTTCAGCTTTCTCATCTTCAAAGCCTTAATCTTGCCCACAATGATTTCTCCCTCTCTCAGATTCCATATAAGTTTGGCCTGTTTCCCAGTTTGAGGCATCTCAACCTCTCAAACACGGGCTTTTCGGGTGGAATTCCCTCTGAAATCTCTCGTTTGTCTAAGTTAATTTCGCTTGATTTGTCGGGAAACTTTGAAGGGCTTAAGTTAGAGCCTCATTCCTTTAAACACCTCCTCCAGAACTTAACTCAGTTAAGAGAACTGGATCTGTCTGGCATTGAAATCTCTTCTGTCCTGCCAAGAAACTTATCTTCATCGTTGAGAATTCTGAGTCTTGTAAGCACTGGGTTGTATGGGAAATTCCCAGATTCTGTTTTTGATCTGCCAAATCTTGAGAGGCTTATATTAAATAGCAACTTTGATCTTCAAGGCCATTTACCAAAGACAGTGTGGAAAAGCAGCATTTCCCTTAAGGAATTGGATCTTTCTTCAACCAGTTTTTCTGGAGAATTGCAGGGTTCAGTTGGATATATTAAGTCCCTGACTTATTTGGATCTCTCATCCTGCAAATTCTCTGGTGCCATTCCCGAGTCTCTGGGAAACCTTACACGAATCGAGAACTTAATCCTATTCTCAAACAACTTCACTGGAAGGGTGCCATTATCTCTAGTGAGCCTTGAGCAACTCATCAGGTTTGATCTTTCAGCCAACAATCTCACCGGGGAAATCCCGGATTTCTTTGGCAAGTTCAGAAAGCTCAAGGATTTATCACTCGCAGATAATTCGTTCACGGGAAGGTTCCCAGTCTCGGTTACTAATTTGACACAACTCGAGTCTTTAGACCTTTCGAACACCTCGATTAGTGGCCCAATTCCCCCCATTGTTAGTGGTTTCCCAGCACTGGTTTTGCTCTTTCTTGGAGAAAACCTGCTTACAGGTGAAATCCCTTCATGGGTATTTCGCCTTCCTTCCTTGAAATACTTAGACATGAAATCAAACAACCTTAGTGGTCGAATTGAGAGGTTTAGTTCTGAGGAGATGGTGCATATTGATCTGAGTGACAACAAGCTTCGGGGAAGTATTCCAAGTTCACTCTCGAAACTCGTGAACTTGACAGCTCTCTATCTTTCATCAAACAATTTCAGTGGTACTTTAGATGTTGGAACATTCTCAAACCTCAGACAACTTAGGCATCTTGGTCTGTCTTATAACAGCATATCACTGTCTGCAGCCCACAAAGAGATTGCCTTGCCTGATTCCATTGGGAATCTGTGGCTTTCGTCGTGTGATATAAGGGAATTGGACTTCTTGCGTGAAGCGAAACACCTAGGACAATTAGACCTTTCCGGGAACAAGATTCGTGGACAGATTCCAGATTGGGCATTGTCAAACTGGGGAAGTTCTGTGTATTATCTGAATCTTTCTTTCAACTCCTTGACTGGTATCAACAACCTTAATCGTTTTGAGAATCTGGTTTATGTCGATCTTCGGTTCAACTTGCTTCGGGGATCATTGCCAGTTCCATCGTCCACTACACAAATCTTTTTTGCCTCGAACAACAATCTCACAGGAGAGATACCTGTATTAGTATGCAACCTGAGCTCCCTAGTGGTTCTTGATTTGTCCAACAACAGCTTGACAGGAATGATCCCGAAATGTCTGTCGAGTGTCAGCAGAAGTTTATCTGTCCTGGATTTGCACGGGAATCGTTTCCACGGGACCATCCCTGGAAATTTTGGCACGGGGAACCGCCTCAGGACCCTGAACTTGTATGGAAATCAGCTCGAAGGAACTGTCCCGAGATCCCTAGCTAAGTGCAGGCTGCTTGAAGTTCTTGATCTCGGAAACAACAACTTAAATGGCACATTCCCAAATTGGCTTGGAAGCCTTCCAGGGCTAAAGGTGCTTAGCCTGAGATCAAACAGGCTAAATGGTCCTATAAACATAAACACCTCTCAGACAAAACCTGCATTTCCTGAACTGAGAATCTTTGACTTGTCTCACAATGGTTTCACAGGCACTTTGCCCCTGGAATTGTTCAGGAACTTCAAAGCCATGATGGAAACATACAACACCGACCCGAGCCTAAAGTACATCGGAGAAACATTCTACAAAGATTCTGTCACTGTAATGATCAAAGGTCAGGATGTTAAGCTCCTGAAGGTTCTGTCCATCTTCACAGCTATTGATCTCTCCAGCAACGAATTCGAAGCCATTATTCCTGTTTCCATTGGAAGCCTAACTTCGCTGCGGGGATTAAACCTTTCACACAACAACCTTGCAGGCCATATCCCAGGCTCACTCGGGACTATACTCGACCTCGAATCACTCGACCTTTCATCAAACCATTTAGATGGGGAGATCCCAGGAGAGCTTGTAGGCCTGACATTTCTTTCTGTACTTAACCTGTCCCAGAATCATCTTGAGGGGAGAATTCCTCAAGGGAACCAGTTTAATACCTTCCAGAATGATTCATACTTTGGGAATGATGGATTGTGTGGAGTGCCATTGTTAAGAAGATGTAAAGATGATGCAGAAAAACCCCCTCCAGGTGAGGATGAGGATGGGGAAGATGATGATGATGATTCAGACTTTATGCATGGATTTGGGTGGAGATCAGTGATGATTGGTTATGGGGTTGGGATTGTTCCAGGATTAGTAATGGGGCCTCTCATTTTCTTCCCAACAGGGATACCAAAATGGCTTCAGCAAAAATTATTGTTTAGAAAGCATTAACTGAACAATTATTATTGTGTGGATCATATTTTGTATACTGTAAAATAATGTACATTCAATATTAAAAATGTACATTGTATTTGGGGATGTACATTATTTGTGTACTGAGTGTACATTATATTATATAATGTATATTCAGTATAAAAATAATATACATTTAGTATATTAAAAATGTACTTTTTGTTATGGTCTACACAATACTGTGTGGACCAATAATTTGCCCTAAAGATGCGGATAATATATAAATTTTGTTTTTATAGAAAATAAATAAATAAATAGGTTTTATTGATTAGTGTCACATAATCCAGGAAGTTGGAATACCTAATAAGGCATGAAGAAAGCAACATGTTCATACATAACGACCTCAGTTACATTAATTTAAGCATCTTAATTACTAAGCATAACAAACATTAAACCCAACCCCACATATGTTGTTTAATTAGTTAATTACCTAACTAATAATCAAAAGGAGTGTTCACAGTGGATGTCCAAATCTGAAACCTCATCAGCTAAGCTAACTAGCTTTTATAGATACGATTCCTCCACTGTTGTGCGTGTCATGTGTTAATGCTTTTAACACGTATTTCTTCGCATCTAATACTTTAGAATTTAGATTATGGTCACGTTTTTTTTTTTTTTTTTTTTTTTTAATATTATATTTTTTGTTTTTTTCTACCAAGCTAATATTCCAATCGCACTGTTTTCCTTTTATGGGAGATTTTTTTAAAAGTATATATATTTCTAAAGTGTAAGAGAAAGAGAGATTACCTCATTTTAAGGTGGAAGGTAGTGGGGAACTTTTGGAAAATATATGTTTTAAAATTGAATTTATTTCTAAAGTGTAAGAGAAAGAGAGATTACCTCATTTTAAGGTGGAAGGTAGTGGGGAACTTTCGGAAAATATATGTTTTAAAATTGAATTTAATGATATAGTGATGAGAAATTGTCAAAAACATGTCATCAATTCTCAAATCAACTTAGTTAAGGTTGTCATCAATAATTTGTACTTTGATTTATAGAAAATTAACAACTTCTATCTAAATGTGCGTTTTAGGTGAAGTATGCATTGTGATCATAACTAACAAATGATCAAATCAACCTAGATTGCACACTTAATATGATATAATGTGTAATACTAAAAAAATGAGTGGTACCAAGAATTTTGTGGTCCATTGGTATCCGGTTGCTCTCCTATGTGGGGGTCTAGGGTTTGAGTCTCATTGTAGGTTTAGATTGTGTATGTGAACACATGATTAAACTTCGGTGGTAGGGACGACATGGATTCTTTAGGCTAAAAAATTATGTGTATTTAAAAAACATATTACATGTAGGTGAAATCATTTTATCCAATTTTTGCATAATTTGCGTGTGTTGACTTGAAGGTGGGTCCCGACAATGGATCAGTTATCAGTCGTGCATTGTGGTGGTAGAATTGCCGTTTCTTTTACGTGTATTTGTATTAAATTATTATTATATTATTATTATTATTATTATTATTATTATTATGTAGAGTTGAAAAATGAATTACATGCTTGAACGTTGTAAAAATATATATACATTACGTGCGGTTGGACTTTCGCAATTCAAACTCACCGATGATGTCAACAAAACATGTATAAAAAAAAAAAAACCGAAATTTAAATTATATAAAAATTACTCCGTATTAAAAAGAGGAAAATAAAAAGTGGCGGGAACGAATCAGACCAAACAGACGAATCAGTGCCGGACTCGTGTTTGTTTACAAGGAAGTTTATATATATGTATAAATATATATTCTTAATTTCTGCTAAACACCATCGTCCACACTTTCCTTAATTTTCGACTCTCTCTCTCTCACTCTCCCCCGTTTCCAAAGTCTTCCCATTTTCCATGTTTTTTTTTTTTTTTGGTTTCTCCCTTTCTCTCTCTATATCTCTAGAACAGGATCAACCTAATTCTCCGATTCCCAAAAAACAGGATTATAATCACGTATAGAGGCAGAAAGGAGGAGTTTTTTTTTTTTTTTTTTTTTTTTTTGATCGTTATTTGGGAATGGGGAGCTATAATTATTACAAAATGTTGGGTTTTTTCAACCGGAAATTCAAGATTAGCGAGAGGGAGCCTCCGCCGGACGTGAGGGATGCGTTTTCTCAGTACGCCGTGAATGGACCCCACATGAACGCCGAGCAGCTGGCCCGGTTTCTGGTGGAGTACCAGGGGGAGGAGGGCCGCACCGCCGACGATGCGGCGGAGATCATCCAAAAAATTCACCACCGCCGCCAGCATTTGGCTAAGCACAACCACCTCTATCTTGATCTCGACGGCTTCTTTGAATACCTCTTCCAGGATGACCTCAATGGACCTCTCAATACTCAGGTTCCTTTTTTTTTTTGCTAAAATTTATTTCTCCTCCTATCATTTTTCTTCCAAAACTGGCCCTGGATTCTGCATATACATACAATGTTCCATTGTGCATTCATAATTTTTAGTATTTTAAGGTTGTTTTTATTTGATCCTGGGACTCAAAGCAAATTTGTTGTCAAAATTTCCATTTTTAGGCAATTCAAGAATATTTCTCCTAGCGCCCTCATTGGTAGCTCAGTTGTTCTTCGGCAATAGATTGTGGACAAGGACGAAAGATTGAGCCTGCATTCTAGGAGTTTCACTCTCTTGTAGAGGGTGGCTTCTTGTGGGTTCCGTTGCATTGGTCTTCCCACCTAATAGGTTGCTGAGTTAGCATGATTTGTCCTTTCACAATCTTGTTAGGTTGGGGTGTGCGGCCCTTGGGGCGAGGGATTTTGCCTTGTGGGCAAGAATATTATTACTAGACTCCTAATCTTGGTTGGTTTACCTTCTTACAGTCTTTTTGTCAGCTAAGGTCAACCATAGGCCATAGTGCACTAGACTTTTCCGTAAATGAAAGAATATTACTCAGTAATTTAGTTATATGAGAAATGAAATTCCTCCTATATAAGGTAAATTCCTCATAATTTAGTTGTGATTGTCTGCTTGAAGTGATTAAGAGAAATGGACATTGGTGAGAATGTGGCCGTAGGATGATCCAGATAGGACAAGCTGATTGCAGACAAATTGAATCAGCCTGTATTTCCTGAGCTATATTTAGGATTATGGTATTCTAAAGATAGGATCTTTGTGATATATTCTATGATATGTCTATATGTATTTAGTGAGATTTTCATTTTCTGATCATTTTGTCAAAAAATTGTTGTAATGAAAATAATTTGGTTGTTACTAGCAGTTGCAGTCGAGATTATAGCTGACGAGGGGTTATGTGGTTCCAGGTATCGAATGATATGAGTGCCCCGTTGCAGCATTACTTCATATATACCGGTCACAACTCGTATCTAACGGGGAATCAACTTAGCAGCCGGTGCAGTGAAAAACCGATTATCAGAGCTCTTGAAAGAGGTGTGAGGGGGATAGAATTGGATTTATGGCCAAATTCGGCAAAAGATAACATTCATGTTCTTCATGGAAGGTATGCTGTTCTTTTTCTTTCCATTATTGTATGCAATCTTATGTGTTTGGATAAAGAAACTAAAAGCTTAACCAGATTGAGGTTGATCAATCTGCATTGGTAATGTTGGATGTTTTTTCAGGACCCTAACGACCCCGGTGACATTATACAAATGCTTGGAATCGATTAAAAATCATGCTTTTGTGAAATCTCCTTATCCGGTTATAATTACTTTGGAAGATCATTTGACGCCTGAGCTTCACTCTAAAGCTGCAGAGGTTAGATTTTACGATGAACAGCTAAGAACGAGTAGTATAGTATAGTATAGTAGTGAATGAGATTATAATTGCGTGGTTTTATAGATGCTTACTGAAGTGTTGGGGGAAATGCTTTACTACCCGGAGTCTGGATGCTTGGAAGAATTGCCTTCGCCTGAAGAGTTAAAGCACCGTATTCTTCTTTCAACTAAAGCGCCCAAAGAATACCTTGAGTCGAGGCAGCAGAACGAGAAAGAAGCCCCCGCCTCTCCATCGGGGAAAGAGTCGTCAGAAGATGAGTCTTCGGTGAAAGAGACAACAGAAAATGAAGGCGAGAGGGTAATTTGTGTTGAGCATATAACCATTAATGTGCAATCCAACTATCAGCTTAGGTTTTTAGTTGAGATGGAGCACATGTTTCAATTGAAGTTAAAGATTATGCCTGCCTTCTTTCTGTATGGTTAGCATGTGTATTTTCAATTCACCTGTCTTTTATTGGGCGTGTTAGATCAATTCTGGTCCCGGTGAGGAATGTAGCGAGGCCTCCACAAGCCAACCGGGGGGAACTGAGTGTCCCGAGGCTGAGAAAACCAATGCTGAACAACGGGATTGTGTCGAGGCTGAGAAAACCAACGTTTCTGAGGCCGAGAAAACCAGTGTTGAACAACTGGATCGTGTTGAGGCCGAGAAAACCAATGCTTCTGAGACCGAGAAGACCAATGCTGAACAACTGGATCGTGTTGAGACCGAGAAAACCAATGCTGAACAACTTGGTCGTGTTGAGGCCGAGAAAACCAATGCTGAACAACTTGATCGTGTTGAGGCCGAGAAAACCAACGCTTCTGAGGCCGAGAAAACCAATGCTTCTGAGACCGAGAAAACCAATGCTGAACAACAGGATCGTGTTGAGGCTGAGAAAACCAATGCTGAACAACTAGACCGTGTTAAGGCCGAGAAAACCAATGCTGAACAACTAGATCGTGTTAAGGCCGAGAAAACCAATGCTGAACAACTAGATCGTGTTAAGGCCGAGAAAACCAATGCTTCTGAGGCCGAGAAAACCAATGCTGAACAACAGGATCGTGTTGAGGACGAGAAAACCAATGCTGAACAACAGGATAGTGTTAAGGCCGAGAAAACCAATGCTTATGAGGCCGAGAAAACCAATGCTGAACAACAGGATAGTGTTAAGGCCGAGAAAACCAATGCTTATGAGGCCGAGAAAACCAATGCTGAACAACTGGATCGTGGTGAGGCCGAGAAAACCAATGCTTCTGAGGCCGAGAAGACCAATGCTGAACAACAGGATCGTGTTGAGGCCGAGAAAACCGATGCTTCTGAGGCCGAGAAAACCAATGCTGAACAACAGGATCGTGTTGAGGCTGAGAAAACCGATGCTGAACAACATGATCGTGGTGAGGCTGAGAAGAAAACCGATGCTGAACAGCAGGATCGTGGTGAGGCTGAGAAAACCGATGCTGAAACACAGGATTCTGAGAGGGTAAAACTATCTATCCCTTTATGTTCTTGTGCTTTTTCATGCTTCATGTATACATACTTCTTTTGGTTATCAGGCCAAGAATGATCCGGGTGATGAAGGCGGTGATGCTTCCACTCAAAGTGCTTTACGGTCAGGAGGAACCGAGTACAAGCGTTTGATCGCAATTCGTGCTGGAAAAGCAAAGCAAGGCGTGAGGCAAGCCTTAACAACAGCACAAGAAAAAGTAAAGCGTCTTAGCTTGAACGAGGGAGATCTTGAAAAGGCAGCAGCCTCATTTGGAACTGACGTTATCAGGTACTTAAAGACTAACTTTTTAACCTGTTTTTTCACCCTCCCTTTTCGGTTTTCACACTTTCCTTCGTTTACAGGTTTACACAAAAGAGTATTCTGAGGGTGTTCCCTAAGGGAACCCGGGTCACATCATCAAACTTTAAGCCTATGCTTGGATGGATGCACGGAGCTCAAATGGTCGCCTTCAATATGCAGGTTAGTGTGGGTGGATATCACCCCGGTTATCAAGTTGTGTTCGTTCTCAATTGTTTGGCAAATTTGCATTGTAGGGATACGGGAAATCACTATGGTTGATGCACGGGATGTTTAGAGCAAACGGGGGTTGTGGGTATGTGAAAAAACCTCAGTTTCTCATCGAAAGAGGACCAGAAGACGAGGTTTTTGATCCTAAAGTAGCAGTAGTACCATTGAAGTTTACATTAAAGGCAAGAACATTATAGTATCCTGCAGACATTCTTAAATTAATCCATCTGTCTTGTCTTCTAAACAAAGTAAGTTTAACTTTGTTGTAATGTTGTTTAGGTGACCGTTTACTTGGGCGATGGATGGCGTCTAGATTTCAGCCACACCCACTTCGATGCATTTTCACCACCCGATTTCTACACCAAGGTTAGAGAATCAACTAACTTAACTGATATCTGTATCTCCATTTAGACCCTGGAATCTGGACAAACAAAACTATTGTCTGATTGATCTGAAAAATGGCAGCTTTTCATCGTTGGGGCGCCTGCAGACTGTGCCAAGAGGAAGACAAGAATCATCGAGGACGACTGGGGACCCATCTGGGGAGAAGAGTTTGAGTTCCCCTTGACAGTCCCGGAGATGGCTCTGCTTAGGATTGAGGTACGAGAATATGACATGTCTGAGAAAGATGATTTCGGAGGCCAGACATGCCTGCCTGTCTCGGAATTGAGACCCGGGATTCGCTCAGTTCCTCTGCACGACAAAAAAGGCGAGAAACTCAAATCCGTAAGGCTGCTCATGCGGTTTCAGTTCATATGATCTGTTGAAACGACAGTCGCCCTTCTCCACGAGACTCCCACAAACCTGCAGTTTTTTGTATAGCATTTTGATCTGATGATCTAAGAGAGAGCTTCAGCCTTGAATGTGGGATGACTGCTTTCTTAGCTGAGCTAAACAACTTCAGAACTCTACTAACACAACCATGAATGTATCATTTCATTAAACTGTCAAAGGATTGAGTAATGAATATATTAGTTTGAATTAAGAATTTTATAAGGTTGTCTACTTGTATGACTTGTTTAGCCCTACCAACATTTCGGTTAGTTCTTGGGTTGTAGATTGTGAATAAAGACACATGATTGAGCCCCGACAGTTACAGTGTGGGAGTTATATTTAATGTGGTGGACTTCTTGCACTGATCCTCCCACCTAATGAGTTACTGTAATTTACTCATCTATTATCTTTACTCAATAAAGGTAAAATCTTTCACTCCGGAGGCTCTCACACTTCAGCTCGATGGATTTATGGAGGTAGTAAATTATGGCGACTTAGCGACCTATTAGGTAGGAGAACCAGCTTCCGGTGCCCATCAGCTGCTAGGACTCTGTCCCTTAATAATCAACTGAGCTACCCATTTGTACACCACTCTATTATCATGTCGAGTCGGGATGTGGGGCTCAAAATTAATGTTTGTTCAAAGTTGAGGGGCAAATCTGCAAATTAATTCCACGATGGATTTGCATCTGCCGCGCGTTTGGTTAACAGTTTACAATAATAGTGAGATCGATCTCCAGAGATTCAGCTTTTTCATTGCCTGAGATTCTTGAAATGAGCTCCGCCGCCGCTCATAATTCGCCGTCCTCCGACTCCGATTCCGACGGCGGGACCAACTCCTCCGACCGCCACTCCGACCTCTCGTCCACCATATTCAAATCCTACATCGACCTCACCGGAGGGGGGCATCAGTATCAGCATGATCTCATCAAGATCCAATCTTTCCTCACTTCCTCCCGCTCCGGCGCCCTCTCGTGCCTCATCTGCCTCGAGCGCATTCGGGCGGTGGACCCCACCTGGTCCTGCTCCTCCCGCTGTTTCGCCGTGTTTCATCTCCTCTGTATCCAGTCATGGGGCGTCCAAGCCTCCAACCTCGCCGCCGCGCGAGCGGCGTCGCGCGCCGCCACCACCAACGACAATTCCCTCCTCTGGCACTGCCCCAAGTGCCGGATCGAATACCCCAAGTACCAAATCCCGAAAACCTACTACTGCTTTTGCGGGAAACTCGAAAACCCGCCCCATGATCCCTGGGTTTTACCTCATTCCTGCGGTGAAATTTGCGGCAGGCCGTTGAAATACAATTGCGGGCACCATTGTTTATTACTGTGTCATCCGGGTCCATGCCCTTCTTGCCCTAAATTGGTGAAAGCCAAGTGCTTTTGTGGTGCTGTGGAGGATATGAAGCGCTGTGGTTTCAAGAACTTTTCTTGTAACGGCGTTTGCAAGAAGCTGTTGGCTTGTAAGACTCATAGGTGTAATGAAACTTGCCATGATGGTGAGTGCTCCCCATGTGATGCTAAAGCAGTTTATAAGTGCCAATGTGGGAAGGTGAAGATGGAAAGGCAGTGTTTTGAGAGGGATTTTAGGTGCGATAATCCGTGTGATAAGTTATTGGGGTGTGGTAGGCATAAGTGTGAGAGAGGTTGCCATGAGGGCGAGTGTGGAAAGTGCCCTCTCCAGGGGAAGAGGACGTGTCCTTGTGGGAAGAGAGTTTATGAAGGGATGTCTTGTGATGTTGCTGCACCAGTGTGTGGTGCAACATGTGATAAAATGCTGAGCTGTGGATTTCATAGGTGCCCCGAGAGGTGCCATCGAGGGCCATGTATTGAGACTTGTAGGATTGTTGTTACAAAGGCATGTAGGTGTGGGAGCTTGAGGAAACAGGTAAGTTTAACAACTTCTTGATGAAATTTTATGAACTTTTGTTAATTGTTAGTCAATTTTTCAAAGTAGTTCGAAATTGGAAATGGTAAACTGAACTTGGAATAGGTTCCTTGTTATCAAGATTTGACATGTGAAAGGAAGTGTTTGAAAGTTCGGGACTGTGAACGTCATGCCTGTAAGCGCCGCTGCTGTGATGGTGACTGCCCGCCTTGTTCTGAGGTGTGATTTGCAGTTTTAGTTATACTTGGTATCTTTTTTTTCCCAATTCTATGCGGTTGCACTCATCTTTTGGATGGTTAGATGTGTGATAGGAAGCTACGGTGTAGGAACCACAAGTGCCCTGCTCCATGTCATAGGTACTTCTCTTTTTCTTTTCCTTTGTCCCGTTTGCAACTAAACAAACAGAAAAAGAACTTTCTTGTTTGTTTCCAAATGAAATATAACATATTATCTTCTAGATAACCATGTAGCCAAGCCCAACTAAATTCGCCCTAAGGCTTACTTGTGTTGAGGCAGAAATCAGAAGTTAGAATTTTCCATTCTATCCTCCCAACCAGATGTGATTGCAGCAAGCAATTGTTCTTATACTATCAATTAGGGATACCCCTTAGGATTAGTCACCTTTTCAAATAAAAGCTACTAGGCAGCTGATCATAAACGGAAGTATAAACGTAGCCCTTCCTATTGATCAACATATCATTAGTGGGTGACTTTTATAGTTTTAAGAAAGTTGAATTCGGAGGTGAAGTGATTAATCATCCAATGAGGAAAACTTAACTTCTGTTTTTCCTATAGATGACAGATAGTAAGAGGTTGGGTATCGATAATCCAAACTGTTAGTGGTTTGAAGGCCCTTTTCATTTCACCTAATTCCATCCAATGAAATTGCGTTGCCACATTTGTTGGAGAAGCTACTGTTATTGAATGTTTGGGTGGAAAAGTTTATTTGCTCTTTTTTTCTGTTTTCGTGATAAATGATGAACATCCTTTGTCTTGTAATGCTCTGCATGATTCAATTTTGAATAAGTTGTGATAATTTCATGTTGTTCTCCTAGAGGGGCTTGTGCTCCATGCCCAGTGATGGTGACAATCTCGTGTTTCTGTGGGGAGACATACTTTGAGGTTAGAGTTCCATTTTATTTACTTTATTCAACTCCGTCCTCATTTCATGTTGAATCTTTTCTTTGACAAACTCTTGATTATTTTCTTGATATTCTATGCTTTAATTAAAATGGAAGGGAATAGATGGGCATACTTCTGATCATGTTTATAGTGGAGAATTCGGTCTCTCTCTAACATTCTCGGTGTCTTTTTCGTTTTTGGCCCGAGTTCCAGTATTCTTGAATCTTGACATTGATTATCTGTGTGTAATCATTCCATTCTTAAGTTCTGATGGTTTCCTTTGAAACTTTTATCAGGTTCCTTGCGGCACAGAATCTGAACAGAAACCTCCTAGATGCCGCAAATTATGTCGTATGACTACTTTATGCAGACATGCATCAACTTCTAAGGTTGTGATACTTTTTGTGTACTATTCTTCTATTTTGATATCGTGGAATTGAATTTACGATATATCAGCTTAAATCAAATAGTTTGCAGAAGCATCATTTTTATACGTAAATTCTTCAAGCCTTTTCTAGTGCGTATTTTATCATAATTTTCTTTAGTGTCAAGTTCCGTATATAATTTGTTCCTTTCTCCAGCCACACAGATGCCACTATGGAGCTTGTCCCTCATGTCGGTTAATCTGCAACGAAGAATACCCTTGTGGTCACAATTGCAAACTGAGGTTGGCCATATGTTATGCTTACGTGTATGTACTCTATATTATAATAAAGCATTGCTGAAGTTCTTTTTTTTTTTTTTTTTTTTTTTTTTTATTAAATCAGGTGCCATGGCCCTATACCTCCCCCTCTTCCAGAATTTACATTGAAACCAAAGAAAAAGAAGTCGACTCATCAAAATGAACCTTCTCCCGGAACATCATGCCCTCCTTGCCCAGAACTTGTTTGGAAGTCTTGTGTGGGCAACCACATTGGAGCGGAAAGAATGGTTTGTATTAAACTTCCAGATCTCATTAAAAAAGAAAAAAAATCTTGATCTTCTTCTTCTTTTGGAACTTGTTTTGTTTGAAAGTTCTTTCAAATATTCACACCGGTCATTTCACTGTTTCAACTCTTTCTCCTTTCACTCTTTCAGATGGTGTGCTCAAATAGAGCTGAATTTGCATGTGATAATCTCTGCGGAAATCTTCTTAAATGTGGCAATCACTATTGCACTAAAGTGTGTCATGCCATAAAGTTGAATCATTCTTCGGCATCAGAAGGGCATGGTAGAGGCGAGCCCTGTGAAAAGTGTACCCTTCGCTGCGAAAAGGTATGATCTTGGGCTCGTCATCCTCTCATTCATCGATCTGTTTGCCATGTGTTACGCCTAATGTTTGCCACAATATGCTTGAAGAACTATGCTTTATGTTATAAACTAAGATTGGACTAGGGTCACTCAACTTGGACTATAATGCACATGGGTCAAACCACACTAAAAGATTGAATCCAACTAATTAGCTAGTCTAACCCATGGCCTTATAAACCCATATGTTCTCTCTTATTTTAGGACTCTTAGCACTTTAATATAAGATGACTATCATTAAAAAAAAAAAACATTTGATGACTCTCGGGTTACTATTCTTCATTTAGGAGAGAGACCCGACATGTCCACATCCTTGCCCCTTGCCATGTCACCTTGGAGATTGCCGTCCTTGCAAAGCACTTATAAAGCGGTCATGCCACTGTGGGGCCATGGTTCATGCATTCGAGTGCATCTCCTACAACAGTTTGTCCCAAAAAGAGCAAGTGTCTGCTCGGTCATGTCGAGGACCCTGCCACAGGTAACAAGTTGAAGCTTGTTTTCTTCATATTTTGCCAAATTCTATATCCTTTTCTTTTTCCCCCGAAGTTGTATTGGCTTTCTATGACAAGAACACAAGGCTGAAGGGCGAAAAACTATAGAGGTTTATGTAGCTTTCAAGATTTATATCACAGTTGATCAAATGATTATTTAGCACCGCTCAGACTAGATGTTTAAGCACATTTAAAAAAAAAAAAGTTGTCTTTGTTCCTGATGAAAATCTGCTCGTCTTATTATACAAACATGCAGAAAATTGCCCTACTGTACACATCTTTGCCCGGAAACGTGTCATCCCGGTGAATGTCCATCACCTGACCAATGCTCCAAAAAGGTATTCTTTTTACCTAATTATTATGAATCTTGGTTCTTGTAGGTGTATAGTGCATGTATTCTTTGAGTAATATGAAATAAAATGATGAAATTTTGTATTCTTTTGGACAAAGTGCTTCGATTTTATTTCAAATGATCACAATCTATAGTGCGGTGGATTCTTGAGTGCTAGACGTAAGAACTTCAATCCGTTAAATAACCTTTCAATCTGATAAAATTTGTTTGGTTCAGAAACTTGGTGGTTTTCCCTTTGTGGGATGGTTAATCTTTTTTCTTCTTTTAGGTTGTTATTCGCTGTGGATGCCAAACCTTGAAAAAAGAGATGCTATGTAAAGATGTGCAAGCGATGTATCGTCTTAATGGCTGTGATCCCAAAGATATCTCTAAAAGCCAGTATGGACTTGGTCTACTTCCTTGTAATCCCGATTGCAAGAGCAAAGTGAGGGTTGCTGAAGCGGAGTTACAGCTTCGTAAACCAAAACCCCCAGAGGTAATCTAGAAAGACGAGTACTACATGTCGTGCGTTTTGTGTTGAAATCATACTAGACCGACCTTTCAGATGTTCAAGAAATAGTAAATTGAAGAAAATCCCGGTTTGTGGGGGCAACCCCAGCCAAGTTGATCGGCTATTGACTTGGTAACCACGAGGTTACAAATTCGAATCTCAGCTAGAGCGGCCTATTAGCCTTTCTGGTTTGCCTGTTAGGGTCACAAGACGGGGTTTACCCAGTAGTAGGAAAATCCCAGTTTGTTTCATTAATTTTTGATCCCGGGACAACAGTTAAATTTTAACTTCAACTCACTCGAGTTTTCTTAGGAAAAGGAGCTAGATGCCAAAAGCAACACAACAAAACGCAGAAGAAGACGAGACCGCGTGCAGGAAGACAGGAAAACCTCAAGACTAAAGGTATTTGTTAGCATTACAATGTTGCCATTTCCCGGTTTCTTTTAGTCTGTTGCTTTAGAATAGTGATGACCGTTCTCCTAACAGAGCCTTATAACCGCAATCTGGAGGGTGCTTCTATTCGTCGCCATTACAGTAACGCTGTTAATATCAGCCTATTATGGCTACAAAGGCTTGATGTGGTTATCAGATCGGATGAACGAAGCTGAAACGCAACGACAAGGTAGATATACACGGCGTATCTAGTGGAATTATTCCCCTCGTTTACTAAAACTTTCGTAAAGTTTATGATACGCTTATCGTACCTAGCTATATTTTCTCCCCCTTTTAAGCACCACCACCATACTCCTTGTCACAAGTTATGTGTTACCCTTATCTACTTTGTGGCTTGTAGCTCAACAGTTTTCATATATTTCTTTCTTTAATTAGTATTTTTAATAATAGAAATTCATTTGTTTTGAACACGTAAAAACTGTATGTAGTACGAGGTAGTTTTATGGTATTGTCTGGTCAATTCAATCGTGCGCCAACCAGCTAATTCAGACTTGTTCAGCTACTTGAAATTGTAATGCACATTTTTTCTCTGTTTTTCAAAACTTGTTTTTTGACATACCGCATCCCTACTATTGTGAGACTAATTCAGATTCGTTTCAAGTCATGGGAGAAGAATTTGATACAAATTCAGATTTAGTCTAATTCATACTTGCAGAGATTGATTCTTACTAAGGAAAAAGTTCGGTCTAGAGCTCTTTAGCACGGCATATATTTACAGGAGTTAAACATTTAACCTCACAGTGTATCCTTAAAAGAGTTGAACTTTTGGGGTAATTTTAGCTAGGGATGGCAATGGGGCGAGGGCGGGGAGTATGCTCCATATCCCCATCCCCGAAACCTCGACCCTGACCCCGTCCTCGTCCCCGACCCCGCAAAGAATTAGGCGGAGACGGTGATTCTCCGTCTCCAATCAACTCTTAGTCAAAATTTTAAATTAATGTAATTTTGAATTTTAAAAACTAAAACATAAGTCTTAATTATATATATATATAAATATAAGTAATTCCATTGTACAGTATATATATACTTATTTATTATAATAATTATTCGGGGACGGGTTAAATTGTCATCCCTAATTTTAGCTAAGCTGGTCAAATATTTGATTTGGTAACCAATTTCAAGTTTGACTCCCTCTGGGAGTTGCTTATTAGCCGTCTCAATTTGAGCCGATTAACTATGAGCAATCTCGATTTGTTTACCTTCTTGTATTCCTTTTTCAGTTATGGTCACAAGACGGGGTTCACTTAAAATAGTGATTGTGAATTTTTTCATAGATCAATGAGTCAAACTTCTGACCTCGCGGGTTTCAACTTTTAGAACTCAATGCATGTGTGTGATGCTCTACATTGGAACATTACCTTTCTAACATGACTACCAATTTTTGTTTAAATTTTAATTTACACACAACAATAACTCTTATTTTTTTATAAATTAAGTTTGTGGTTAGCGATGGTATTCATTTAGAGTGAACATTCAATTAACAAAAGATCATGGAAAAGCTCAAAATTGGAAATAAATGGAATCAAATCACAAGCTGCATATGACAGAAATGTCTACATCGGTCCCTTGTTGGATTGTATATGCTGCATATGCATAAATGCAATCCTTATTTATTCTCACGGACGCAACATAAATAAATGGTAATAAATTCACCATAGTACTCACCTCAACGTGTGAATTTTCCCATTTTAATTCATCACCGACCACTACAGACATTTAGGTTTGAAGTGATCATCTATGGATAATCTAGACTAGTTTACCTTCTTGTGGTGCTGTCTATTGGCCTTCTTGATTTGAGTCAATTATTCATCGACAAACTAGGTTGGTTTATTTTTTTATAGTCTTATGTAGACTAAGGTCACAAGACAGACCCACCTCCAAATAGCGACAATAATTTTTTTATAAATCAAAATATAAACATAAATATCATACATTTAACGGTTTCATTTGGTGAACCGAACATTCATATATAATTTAGAACATAAGAGCTGATCCAATAATTTTCTTTAAAAAAATAAAAAGAATTAATCCAATAATAATAATGTTAGCATTTAATATTTGAGGCACCGCCGTGGGTTGTTATCCTCATATATTTATGTGTCCCTTTTTCTTTCTGTCCCGGTTGGTCCATAATAGTGTCGAGAGCTTTATCTGGGCGTCCACGTGTACGCATATCTGAGAGACAGTCATATTTGACTGTTCTTTAATACGACATATGAACATTCAAAGTCAAAGCTCATCTAATTCTGCCCAATGTGTAAGAATTAAATATGGAGTGTCTCTCACAAAGTTTCATCCCCTACCAATTATGGGTGTTTTCAGCCCTCCTGCATCATAGTAGGCCCTATCAATATAATTTCATTTCACAATGTGTTATATGGTTTATGATAAAAGTCCTTAGTCCTTAGTTGGTATTCAGGGATGTATACTTTTTTGTCTTGAGACTTTAATCAGTAAAGAATCACAAGAAGATAAATTAATCGGCCCACAAAGAATCACAAAGAAATAAATTAATCTAAATTGTTCATATATAATCAGCTCAAATCAAAAAAATCAGTAAGTACTTCTTACAATGAGTTACCAACTGTTGAAGAAACTTAATTGGGATTGTCCTATTTCATTTTTGCATTATGTAATGGGGCCTTCAAGCGTACAAGAAACACCAACCATAACTACCCTGGGAGGACAAGGTTGAAAATGTTATTTGCATTTAAGAACCAAATTGGATACAAAGTTTAAGCATGGAAGACCAAATTTCCATGACTCAGTCAATCTTCTAGGTTCTCCTTTTTCTTGCCCATGTGTAAATAATTAAAGAGTTAATACCCAAAATGGTCCCTCGACTATGCCATAATTACCAATTTGGTCCTCAACTACCATTCTTACCCAATTAAGTCCTCAACTATGTAACTTTTACTCAATTAAGTCCTCAACTATACAATTCTTACCCAATTTAGTCCTCTGTATTAATTTGACTGTTTGTTGACTGTCAAAAGTCAGGATAAAATTATAATTTTACAATATTTCTCCTTCCTCACCATTTAGCAGCGCCAAACCATGCAGCAATACACTCCGATCATATTTCGATCGTCAAAAAATCGTTGAAAATCAAATTCATGGGCTATCCGATGCATAACCACTACTTCGATACTGACAGGTTTAGAACTCAACCGGAGCTTATTGCTACATGGTTTGGCGCTGCTAAATGAGGAGGAAGGAGAAAACTTGTAAAATTACAACTTTATTTCCACTTTTGACAGTCAACAAACAGTCAAATTGACAAAGGACTAAATTGAGTAAAAATTGTATAGTTGAGGACTTAATTGGGTAAGAATGATAGTCGAGGACCAAATCGATAATTACGACATAGTCGAGGGACTATTTTGGGTATTAACTCATAATTAAATATGAAATGCCACCCCAAAATATGGGTCGATCCAAACTTAAATAAAATGGAAATGGTTCGGTGTACTGATAAGTTATTACATAAGAGTAAAATTTGTGACATTTTGCTGAAGCCCTGACCATGGCTTAAACCAACATAATGCTTAATCAAGAAAATGTGACATGTAAAATACATGTGGGGGTTAGTCTAAAAAATCCCTACAAGTTAGAGCTAAAGAACACCAAGAATATAATCACACAAATCAATCAAAAAAGAAAGAAAATCAAAGTAAAGAACTAAATTAAAGGTTATTTCATTCCGAAACAATGGAGATTTGACCACTGGAGATGCTGCCATGGCTGTCTTCACAATGGTTCAAAGCCCTCTCCAAATTCACAACAATGTCAGCCATGGAAGGTCTATCTTTCCCTTCCAAATTCACACAATGCATTGCAGTGTACGCCACCAATTCCACCGCCTCCGCTTCATTCGGCTCCGGCAACCCAACTCTCGGGTCCAAAATCTTCGTCAGCTCTCCGGCCATGATCGCCGGCAAAGCATAGTCCACCAGGCTCATCGGCGCACCCTCGCCACCGTTCGCCTTAAAGATCGCTCTTTTCCCGGTTAAGAGTTCTAGCAAGACGATTCCCAGACCATATACGTCGCTCTTTGTCGTCAATACATTCAGACCATAGTATTCTGGATCAATGTAACCTACTGTCCCGGCTTTGTTCATCGGCCGGCTGTAATCCTGGTCGGAATCCGGCCCCATTAACGATAACCCGAAATCAGAAACTCTCGCCGTCCAATTTGCATCCAATAATATATTCGATGACTTGATGTCGCGGTGGATTATCGGCGGAACTGCGTAATTATGCAGATATTCGATGCCGCGAGCGGCGTCTAAGGCAACCTTAATCCTTATTTTCCACGAATTTACAATGTTGCTGCTCTTCTCGACGTTGTTCTTGTCGTGTAAATGATCGTAGAGAGCTCCGTTTTTCATGAACTCATACACTAAAAGCCTCTCTTCTCCTTCCTCGCAGAAACCGACGAGTCTGACTAAATGTTTGTGGTGAAGTCTGGATAAGAACGCTAATTCCGACTGAAACGCGCTTTCTTTTTCCTGAAATATCTTCGTTTTCGGCCCCGTCTCGCCGCGCTTGATCGCCACCTGGCGGCCGTCGGGGAGTTTGCCTCTGTACACGACTCCGAAGCTGCCGGCGCCGATCTTGTTCTCCGAGGAGAAGTTGTTGGTGGCCGCGGCGAGGTCGGAGAACGTGAATTCCTCCGCCCTGTCGGCGTGTTTCGAGGAGGTTCCGCTCCTCTGCCGCCGCATTAGCAGGGAGCCTTGCCGCCGGAGAGTGGAGGAGCGTGAAAGAGGGCCGCTGCTGGATTGCTGCTGTTGAGCATTTGCGGCAGTTATGGTGGGCTGAACGGAATTGTGAATCTTCTTCTTCCCGAAACAAACGCCGGTCCATAGACAGTAAAGAATCGTGCAGATTCCTGCAAATGCCCCAACTGAACCGATAATTGCGAACGCTAATAAACCCCTCCTAAGCCGTTTGGAATGCCCCGGATTTTGCGGCGGAGGCGGCGGCGGAGGAGGAGGAGACGGGGGTGAAGATGGTGGGAATGAAGATGGAATGTCACACGGTTTACAGATTTTCCGATCACCGGAACACAGAGATTGGTACTGGGGATAAACGCCGCATTCATCGCAATCACTGTTAACGCACGGCGCCGGGAGAATCTTCGGGAGAGGTAGCTCGGCCGCTTGAGGATATGAATTATTATTCGTCCAACCGGGGCCCCAACAAACCACTGAAAAATTGCTTGTTCTCAATCCGCAGGTGAAATCCGGGCCGGAAACAATGGATTCAAAGGGGACGCCGGCCACTACGCTACTCGAAAACGCACCGTTTCGTCCCCAACACACCACGCTCTGATTCACTCTCCGGATTGCGCAGCTGTGGTTTAACCCTAACGCTAATCCGCTGTACTCGTAAGCGGAATTGAACGGCACTTCCAATTCGCCATTTTCATTGCTTCCTTTGCAGATTACAAAGCCGGTG